AGACTAAAATATTTGCAACCTTTGATTGGAAACATGGTCAAGAATATGAGTCATAGACTAGGTCAGCTCTGACAACCTTTTCATCGAATAGTATATTTGCTAGATGAAGTATTGTGGAGCCTTTATACCCCTATTTGCGTGCATGGATTTTAATATATTGGAGTCCCATCCTGCTAGAAGATGTGCAAGGAGGAAGATGTGAATTAAGTGAATAAGATAGCGCTTGGCGTGAGTTTATGATGTTTTAAATGTCTATCCACAACCACACTTATAATGACTTCAAAAGACCCACCGAATACTGTCAATTGCCTTCAGAACTCTTCGCAACAACAGAATCTCTTATCAAAAGCACGGGAAAGAATAATGGGAAGCACTAACGAATGGTAGGTAATATGCGAGAAATCGCAAACCAAAAAGTAAACATTGGGTGACGGCAAAAGCATGTATCCTATTTTTCGTCGGCCTGTTTGAACGTCTAGGCTACCTGTTGCCTCCGTCTACATATTTCAACAAGTTATCTATCTTCGTTTGCTTTAATGCATCACTATGTCTATCAATAGCATAAATTATTCAGGTGCCTTTCTGAAAAGTATACAACCTTTCGTTGTACAAGTTTATAAAGGCTCAATTGGAGATATCGTGGTTGTCACCGACATACAGCAAAAAGAATGTAAGTTATTTTGATTTCGACCTACGGGACGGCTGACGTCTAACTGGCGATCACTCAACATTTATCTTCAGTATCGAACAAGAAGTAAGAAGCGGAAACTGAGAATTCTTTATTGTAGCAAATATATAATACTGAATAAGGTTAAGAATAAATAAATAAATAAAATTTGTGTGACAAATCAAACGGAAAACCTTCTTCGATATCGATAAAATATGAGAGCAGGGGAAGTCATAGGAAAAACTTATACCAAGACAAATGGCCATTGACACTGTCTTTACTACAGAATCCCCTATGGTACAAATTTCATAAGGTTCTAACAAGGTTGTTAAATTCTGACCATGTCTCAGGCCAAAATTAACACTCTTTAAGTTGGAGGGATTATGTGTGAGACCACTAACATCATAAGATTGTTCAATGAAAAATAAGGGGCATGAACAAGCAGAAATCAGTACACATGCAATGAAGTCATTTGCATACTTGGAAAAGTATTTATTGCGGAAGATGGAAGATCATGTGAAAGTAATAAAAACTTATGACAAATAATCATACTATCGTGACAAAAATGTCCTATGCATTTAAATACTGGACGCTCTTCTTTTACGATTTTAAAACCAATAAACATTTATTCCACACTACACTTCGGGGCTTCTATTAATAATAAGATATTTCTACACGAGCAGGTACACGCCATTTTTATAGACATGATCTACAAATTACAACATTTGTTGGCTCACAGCATGCGCCCCAACTTATTAAGTTTGTAGTTGTGGTAAAGTAGACTCGTAGAGCGCTTGCTGTAAACCATGACCAGAGGAGACGCGTATGTCAAGTTTGTTCCAGACGTCAGAAGTTCCATAGCTGTGCCCACAGAGCAAGACTCTGAAGAAATAAAAGAGAAACAGAAGAGCAACAATGCACTTGGTTACGAACGCCAAACGTTGCTTAACACTTTGTAGTCAAACAGAGAGGCATAATAAATTAGATTAAATTCATATTATCTCTTGTTAGAGTGAAATGAAGTCAGACGCTCTATATAAGAGAATGTACTAATAAAGAACAATGAGTTGTAATGTTTAACAAGTTGAAGTAAGCTCACATGAAGGAAGGGAAGTCATGAGTGGTACAAGGAAAGTGGTTTATTAGAAGGGAGTGTGCATAGAGAAGGTGAAGTGTTAAGAGTACTAATGACCATATCTTTCATTGTCTAATTTTTTCTTCCTTTTCTTTTTTTGTCCACTCGATGCCAGCTAAACAACCTGTTCTGCTGTGCTACAATTTATCACACTAGACTTCGTCTCAGTGATTTATCTGTAGTTTTTTTTAGACACCAGTCTCATTTTAATGTCAGCAATCAGCCTGAATTCTGGCTGGCAATTAAACATACTTCGATCCGCTTCATCGCAAAAAAACTTGGCATTGTAGATCACTTTCGTCATTATCATTAGTGTTCCTTCTGTTCATAGTCGGGACGAATTCTGTAGTACGCAACCGTGGGGCTGCTAGACGAAGTCTAATCACATATGCGTTCGCAAAGGTCACAGTTCGTATGATATGGTATTTTGCGACAGTTGGTAACAAAAGCAAACCTACGCAGTTCTATCACACCAAACTATCTGTCAACTAGTTGGTGTGTCTCCATGAATACACTTTGCATGGTTCCACTGACTTGATCTTTTCACTAGCTCGTTCATAAGCTGATATTGCAAACTATTGACCATACCTTCAAGATTGGAGTGAACTTCATGTGTAAGAAGTAAATAATTATTATCAAATTTACCCTTAGTCTTTGTAAGACACCATATAAGATTATGATTGTGCACTGGTTACTCAATTATTGTTTTAACTTTTGATGTAAATCTGTATGTATGGTCGTGTATTTGCTTACAAATCCAACATACTCTCACATGTCGGAGGTTCACCTACCTTGTAGTATTTGTGACCGAGTCTCTTCAATAAGATTGGTGTGTTCAACCACTTGTCATATGTTCATGGCATCTTTTGATGGTAAACTAGCCAGATGCGACGTTAGTGACGCATGTATCCAAAAGCTCTTATCTGTGTTTTTCCATCATACCTGATACTACATGAGTAACAAAGTAGGTATTTCTTTGATGATTCATCTGCATAAAAACGAAACTGACATGAGAAATCTTGTTGAGATTGCTTATTTAGTAGTTCTAATACACATCAGTTGGTTTCCATGATGTAACAGCTTGACTGACGCATTATTACCTCAAAGTCACCTAATTATTTCTTATATAGGCTGTTCCAACCAGATTGTCAGGCCGTCGCGCCTCTCAAATTTTTCAAGAGAACAAAGAATTTTATCAGTGAAGTGATATATCATGTCGAAAAAATAAACAGTGGGTTGTGTACACAAACTGTGATTGTCATTACCTTGTCAATGAACGATTCATCTGCAGTCAGTCAGCCAAAACGCAGGACCACGCACATATATGCATCGGTCCTCATTAGCACAACAAGACGAACACCGAATTCATAGAAACAGATGCTTTATTGGTAGCAATATATAAAAAGATTTCGCATAATGATTTGATTCAGTGAGAAAGAATTAGATCGTAGAAAGAAAGGTATAAAGTAATCTCATGGTTTAAGAGAAGATAAACAATGTATACACCCACGTCATTGTGATCGATTCTGAGCCATGTCACCAACAGTCTCCAACTATTGGTGACGACAATTATGCGGACCACAACCAAGTAGTCTGCATCTACCAACATGGCTCAGACTAGAAGTTAGTGATTTCAAGCACTAATGCCACGTTTTGGTTTGGCCGGCCCCAACTTCCTTCCAACCATCCCCAACACAGGTCGGCATTGCGCGTGGTGGTAATCGGTATTCAGGCATACGTTACACGTGGCCCAACCATCTCAGTCGATGAATATTTACAACCTCATCAACTGATTTACCCTCATTCACCAATACCCTGCTTCGGACCTCACTATTACTTACCCGGTGATTCCAGCAGGTTTGAGCAATATTTCTAAGACATCTGTGGTCAGATACTTGTAGCTTACGAGTATCATCAACTCTTAATGGCCACGTTTCGCAGCCGTAAAGTAAAACAGAATGAACTGCCGCGCAGCACACCCGTCCTTTTATTGATAGACGAATATCTCGCCTTCGCCATAGGTGATGTAATTTGGCAAAAGCCAATCGAGCTTTTCGAATCCATGCTGAGATTTCATCAGACACCAACCCATTAGGGCTGGTAAGACTACAAGATAAGTGAAATTGTCAACGCAATCGACTACTTCACTCCTTATCCTTAGTTCAGGTGTTGACGCAGGCTAGAACTGGAGCAACGACTTGCATTTAGGGGGAGAGAAGGGCATTCCAAACATTCTGACATTGTTGCTCAGTGCTACCAAAAGACTCTGCACTTTATCAGCGTCTTCACCAAACAGGACTATGTCATCTGCGTATTCTAAGTCGATAAGTGGACCTCCTGGAAAGAGATCAAAAACCGAGAATTCAGTCGATGAGAGCGTTATTTCCTTTAGTAGGTCTATGATGAAGTTGAACAAAAATGGAGAAAGTGGACAGCCTTGACGGACGCCACTTGAGGTTACAAAAGCAGATGACAGTTCTTCATAGGCTCTGACTTGACTAGTAGTGTTTGGGTAAAGAGCCTTCACGAGGTCTGTGTACTGAGATACGCCTTTCAATCACAGACACTGCCACAGCACATCGCAATCTGCTCATGTCATTAACAACCCTGAGGAAATTTCGCGAGCGAATCCGAGTTCAGTGAGCAGTATTTTAAGATATAGATGCCCCCAGCTTGATACTGCAGCAGCACTTATATGATTCTCAACCTTCCGATGATTTTATGCTTGTCTTAGCCCAAAAGTTTGCACCATTATGGTAACCTTCGGTTTAGTTAATCAACATCGATATTCATACGTCTAGACCCGCCGAACATTATTCTGGACGAATAACGAAGACAGTTTGTAGACGAACATCTGATTCTCATAAGGTTACTGACCTCACTGTTGTCTGACAATTATTGTTTTCAATTAGATCCTCAGCAGGCTGATGAAGGTCGGAAATTTTAATTTATGATTAAATGTTCAAAGTAGTTTATATTTCATAATACACCTGACCTGCTACTAACACTATTAACCTGATTTAAGACATCTTTTTAAATTCTGAAAACAATATAAAAAGTTGGATCCCTAGTTCGAAAAACTTTATTACTATGAGTGACTATCAAACCAATTTTTCGAAGTCATTTTATGGCTAAAATACGATTCATGCTTTTGACCTGAACGAAAATGTCTGAAGTGATTTCAATGTTCAATGTAACCTCTGCATTTTGTTTTGTTCAATACATCAAGTTTTGAGGTACTTACTTGTATTGTGGTGTTGGTGTTGTTTTAATTCAGTATACCATATATCTTGAAATCCATAATCCATTTCTTAGTTTCATTGACGTATATGTTAGTGATATGTTTTCAGCACTATCCACTGTAGGCCCTCAGATTAGTGTGTCTACGAATAACGGATCTTAACACTCAACAAGTCTTTTTCACATGGTACTTCGTTCGTATGATATAAAAACTTGAGGCTTATGAGCTGTAGGGCTGCATGTATTGACTCACTAGTACTTTAATAATACTGCCGCTAATTAGCACTGCGTCTAGATTTGCCCCGAACGCTTTAGAAGTCTTCTCTAATAAAAGATATATTTAGCAACCAGATGTATAAGCAAGGACATTATTCAACTGACAACCCATCCGTTGCCTACTAAATTCCATAGTTGTACAACATATGAATGCATTCAGATTTCTGCTTGAAGGTTTGAGAGCTGTGCGGTATCCTTTTTTTAACGTGCCCCTGCGAGGGCCCTGTCTTGTATAAAATCAGTTAATTAAACGTACAGACACCGATTCTGGTAGTAAACTACTAAAGTTGAGTACTTGGAAGTATAAAATGAAAAATACAGGCACTTTGTTCATCCATGGCTTTTGAATTCGATGGTTGCCCGGGTTTTTTCTTAAAAGAACAGATGCCATATCCGAGACGTTTTCTTAGTACTCTGTACACCGTATATCGTTTCAATATGCCGTCAAGTTCATGAGTCTAGTCCCTCAGACTAAGGACATCCAGGAAAGCACAGGTAGTGATTTTCTGCTCTTCCCTAGGAACCTGATTCGTACTTCAAACGGAATTAAAACTCACCATAATAGTGTAAAATGACAAATGTATTGTTTATCTAACCCAGTGTAAGTTCATCCAAATATCCTCTTTTGTCCTGAGTGTATGGCTTAAACAGACGCAGTGAACCGTGGTCTTCAGATTATGACTTACTGTAACCCTTGGTTCATTAGTTGCGAACTCAAGTCAAAATGTTTCTTCAGTTCCGTAATTCCATCTGCTTTCGTGTCCAGTGTGCATGAAAACAGCCTCATCAACAAACAATTACACTTTATACCACCATAACAGGCCGCCAAGTTCGGCTCAAAGTATATATATATATATATTATATTAAATTATTATTATATATATATATATATAATAATTTAGTGCTACTTCTCGTCATATTTTGACGTGTATGGCAACCTGGGCCGATGCATACATGTGCCTGGTCCTACGTTGTAGCTGACTGACTGACTGATATTTTGACGTCTTCGGTTTAAAGTATTGTGAGGGATCTGATTTGTGAAAGTTCGTTAAAACTATTTATTATACACTAAAATACAGGGATCTACGCAAATATTGTCAAAGTGACTAGTCTTATTTCGTATAGATGACTCATTTAAATCATCAGACAACGACAGAATTGTTATTTGGATTTGTGAGATAACTTTTTGTCCGGTTAGTTTGTTAGCATTTATCACTGTATCTACGTATTTATACTCGTTCTTAATATTGCCTCGATTATGCGATCTCTTTGACTATTCATGTGGCTAAGGACTTAGCAGGTGCGTATAGCTATTGATTTAATTGCTAACACTCGTACTTAGAGTGTATGAAGCAATGAGAGATACTCCTAGTATGGGTTTGTCACATTTGCACATCAAGACGTAGCATTACGCCTGACGGTCCTCCGGACAAATTAGCAAATATTTTAGGGTCATAATGCGCGTTAAGAATGGATGTTTCCTGGCGACTCATCGACAAAATTTGAGTCAACGCGTTTCAGCTTGGAATGTAATGCCACCCGGTTGCCTGAACTGATGCAGGGTGGGGTTCAACCACGCAGCTCAATAGTTGGAAGGTGAATGCCCTAAACACTGAGTCACCACTCCACTATTACTGTCCTTTTAGGGTGAACGACTTGTCGTATATGTCGATTTTTTTTTGTCTATCACACTTCGGAATCGGCTGATTTCATCTAATTACCCATCACAGTCACTATTCAGGGTATCTGTAGTCCTCAAATGTTGTTTCTATGGATGTGAAACTTTCCAAAAGTGAGGATTGCAACGATCTTCTGGTCCTAACATTTTTCATTCAACACTGAAAATTTCGACCTATTTCTGAATAGAATTTTTCCCCAGTAGGAGTAATATTAGATAACTATTTACGTAAACATTGGTCACGTCTATGTATTGTATCGCTAAGTGCGAAAGATATGTGTGAGTCAAACGGGAACAACTCCAGATCACTAAGTCTTTGCATTTGGACTGAGGAGTATCGAAAGGTAGGAGTTTTCTTACTGATTGTAAGTCTTCCTGGTTATAGTATTAAATAGTTGGAGATCCTCACTGTCATGCCTCGAAACGTTTTCTGTTTTACTGAACTCAGGGTCCATGTTTTGTAGGTTTTTTTAACGAGGTTCTTTGTGCAGTTCTTTAAAATTTGATTATCACTTTGTTAACTTTCACTATTGTGATCTGAAGTGTTACAGTTCGTACGGAATTTATCACTAGTCTCCATACTTTACAGATAAAACAATAAATGTTACTGAAAACAGTTGCATAGTTTTGGGTCCATATTTCTGTATTTCCGTTACGTAAAAATGGCTGGGTCTAAGTAAACACGATTATCGTTTTACACTTATGTATAAACATTTAGTTATTTGTAACAGGAAATGTCTAAAAACAAAACTTCATTAAGTGGATTCTTTTTAGGTTTATGGATCCAAACCGCATTCAACCCATAATGCTGTCTCAAGCTGGGTACATACTACCTCAACCAGGACTCAGCCTTGTCTCTCCTTTGCCTGGCGGTGCTACTGCGTATACCCACCAACCATCATATCAAAAGTCATTATACTTTCCATTGTCGTTTACTGGTTATAATGACCCTCAAGTTAGTGAAATGGACTTCTCCAGCTCCCAGGTCCAGAGCACTTACACTTCACCTGCCGATGTGCTGGAAAAAGACTATCAAATTGTTACTTATGAAGAGCTTGAAAAATTACTCCCAGAACCCAAACCATCTGGTCGCGTCGAGTTGGGTTTGCTTCCGAATGGGTGTGCTTATGCACCTAAAACAGCAAGTCGAGAAAATTACTTGTTATTTGCATCAAAATATAGCTATATATTGTATTTCACGTAAGTTTCTAACTGTCAGTTTGCCTTTCTTAAAGACATAAATACCGCAACATATGTTGTACCGTTAACAGACATGTATGTTTTCACTTTAAAGCGCTCTTAAGGTAATATAATCATTAGAAACATGTAAGTTTCCTGAAAAGTGTTCTGGTAATGACTACGAATTAATAACGCCGTAAAACTTAAACATCGTCAGCTCAACAAATTATTCCAGACATGATGTCATACAACAAACTCAACAAAATCCCTTAACATAGTTTTATTCTTCTACTTCAAAATTAAACTGGTTCATATTATAATTGCCGATACAACAACCATAGCGAATATGCATTGCCATTATGAATTATTCTGTTCTCAACAGAAACCATAAATAAAGTGGTGGATGCATAAAAACCACACTAAGTACGTAAAGATTAAAGTATAGGATATGCGCACACTTATTTCTTGCTAGTCTACACAAGGGAAATCAATCACAGTGCTACAAAAAAGTCCGGAATCTGACGACTGTAACCGTCAAATACAATTTAATAGCAGCCACACAATTTCTTTGTTTTAGTAATTAATAATAAACAACCTTCCTAGAGGTAAAATCTCACGGAACGCATCGACATGGTAACAATGGGCAAAGTTTTCCACGCACTTAAATGTTACCACCTTGTGTTATCTTATCTCCTGCTAATTCGAGTAAGTCCGATTTAACTGCTCATCACGATAATCCAGTTGTATTGAAAGCTTCTATACTTCGCATTTTGGTGATATTATTCCAATTTCGTAAATGGTGTTTTAATTGCATTAATATCTTGCTATTTTCTTTAAGTCATCATTATTTTTCTCGAGAAAACTTATGCCGGGATCAGACGTTCCTGAATATGCTTGTTGATCGACTGATTTTGCCAATCGAAAAGCTTGTCAAAGCTCCTCGCTTAGCAGCTCTAAATACTACTCATGAAGAAGTGGAAAAAGCCTTACTTGGCAGTAAGATTGTTTGTGTTGAAGATATGAATGCGGGAATGCGTGGTGTTCGCCGCATTGATGGTTGTAAGTTATTTTATTTACGTTAGAATTAGAGTTATTTGATTTCGTTTGCCTTTGACATTTCAGTAGTTCAAATGTAGCTGTGTGGTTTTACATACTTGACATTTCACCACTTGGTCACGGTTTCATTTATTTCCGTTTTGACAACTAGTTTAATATAAAGCAGGATTAATTTAGCTTGTGGATATCACTTTTATATTTTTAACGGTATGCGCACTCGACAGCTTTTTGTTTCATAATTATTAACTACTGAACATTGTATTTCTCTTATTAGGAAAACTAATAGGTTCTTTGTTACCGGTATTAAATCGCGTTTTTATTTAAGGTTTGATTTAAGAACTTGTTTATCAAGAAACTTGTTACACCCTCATTGTCTGTTGATTTCTATTTTCCGACTTAAAAATAGGTAAACTTTGTTTATCGCTTGTGTTGCACTCTTATTTCAGATCCTGGTCTGTCTACGAATCCTGATACTTCAATAAATGTGCAATCTGAGAGTGGATTATCGACTTTTACATCGTCTCAGAATTTAACCTCGTTGATTGGGTCATTCTCTCTCCAACCACAATTGCCTGATCAACAAATTACTACCAGTCTTCAATCCGTAGTTGTGTTGAGAACTGCTGGTTCAGACAAATTCCGATCTGATGGCGTTATAAGATCTGGACACATGAATTCTGAAACAAGCAAAGAGCTTCTACAAACAAGTACTTTAATTCAAACCCCGGTGACAACGAATGTTTGCATAGCACCTGCGTCTCATCAAATGTCCATTCCATTATTGTTACCTTTATGCGGTATCGAGAACTGCAGCAATATTCATATAGAATGTACCGGCACAGCGGGTCCTTCAGTAGCACCTTGTCGTAATACTGCTCCTTGGATATTTCAACGGCCTACAAAACAGTATAATCCATATTCTCGTGTTGCACATGTGATAGTTCCTCAGTCTATAAATCAAACGAATTCTACAAATTACAATAAAAACCAACCGCTCGCGTGGGACTTTCATCAGCGCCCACATCTCCCAGCTGCAAACAGTACACATTCAAGTGTAGTACCGATACGGCGTCAAACGCATTTGCCAAATTATTTCATTCGTCAGACAGGGAATGTTATAGAGTCATACCCTGTCCCATTTTCAATACCACAAACAAGTAACACAAATCAACCTTTCAATCTAGCTGTAGCAGCTGCTTTAGCATCCATGAGTACAAGCACCAGTAATAGCATTAATCCAAACCACTATGGACATCAACCGCAGTATTTCCCCAACCAGTTGTTAACCAACTCTTCAAACATCAGTCCAATTAGAGCTAACCAACAACGACCATCAAATGCACTTTTGAATCACCTCCAAGCAGTAGCTGCCATGTCAGCTGTTGCACAACATTCGAATGCTACACCTTATTTTCAGAATCCTGTATCTCAAACTAATCCTTTTCATATCCCCACCCCTGTGCCAGTGTACTACACCGCTCCACAGTTATCGTTACAATCTTCTGGTGCGCGGAACTCTTTACAGCGTTTACAACAAAATGTGTATCCGATGCAAAACTATGGCTATCAAACAGTCCAAAACGTCACAGTATCCGAGTCATCGGATAATCTAAGGTCAGATAGTAGATGTGGCTTAACGGTACCGAATCTCCCACAACATACAAATAACTTGATTTATCCTATACTGTTGCAACCACCCGTGCACATACAGCATAAGTTACCCACACATATGAATGGTACAGGGTGGCAGGTTCACAACCCTGGTCAGTCGATACGTGGAGCATTTAGTTCAGTAGGTTTAACGCCTATACCCATTAACTTCACAGTCATTAACACAAATGGCTCTACTTCGGTAGCCAATAATGGGATGCTCCAAGAGTTACCAACGTTTTCAGACACAAAAGATAATCTTGATAACAATACAGCAGTAGATAATATGGTAAGTGATGCTGCAATAAATGTGTCTCCTGCATCTGAAAATCAATTGGATAGTGGATCGTCTGTGTTACCAGGCTTAATTTCACCAAGTGAAAATTTTACATGCGCAGTTATTGGCGACAATCAGTCTCATAAGCTTCCCAAACAAGTTGAAAAAATGACCTCTCCTGGTTCGGTTCATGATTCTGAGGATTCAGTTAGTTCTGGGATAGGAGACATGACTGCCACTAGCACTGGTGATAATGACAGTCGTAACAATTCGTCGTGCACACCAACCGAACCAACTCGTATTATTCCGAAATCTGACTACGTACGAAACAAGTCTTCAACACGAATTAAAGAAAAACTTACATGAGTCTCCGAAATGATGAGATTCATAATTTTGTATTATCATTCACTGAAGCTACAAGTGATCATCCAATATCATGCAGTCATTTGTTCCAAGTAATTTTACACAGCTTACTGGATAGACTAGTAAAGGAAACTCATAAGCAGAACATATATTGTGCTTACCAGTTATATTTTTCACCATTACAATTAAAGCAACGAAAATAGAAACAAAGAACCATAACTACTGGCCGTTTCATCCTGCATATTCACGAACCACCGTTCCGGTCACAATTACGCTGTTCATTTTCATTACAAATGCTTTAAGTCGGGAAATACTGTGATTAGAATCCGCGTTACGGCCACTCCTATATGGTGTCTAAACTGCCTTTTCTTTCATTTTGAAGATTTCTTAGTTACTGTTTTTATTCCACCCTGTTTGTATATATGATTTATTGTCAGTACATACGTATCTATATACCACCGCTTTACTTCAAGCTTCCTTAAGTGTAATCATTTTGCGAGGTATGCTGCACAATTTACATTTCCCCATGCAAAAGAGAAACCAATTATCCTACCTCACCATATACGTATATCCCAGAAAATCTCCAGATAAGCGCCTTAGGTCTAGATTTTCGTAGTTATATGCAACTAGGAGTTTAAACAATTAGAGCTATACCGAAATCAAATTATTTGTTTTTCACTGACTTTCTGATTACAAACAAGCTGAGATTTTTCCTTATCCGTGCTCTCCCTGAGACTTATTAATTTAAGCTGCTAAAGCACCTTGATTTTCCATTAAACTGTTTATTTTGAGATATTTTCTTCCTTATAGTGTTACCTTGCAAATCTTAAAAATAACTTCTTGGTTTTAAAGTCATGCAAGATATTCATGAGTGAATAGATGTGCATTTTCTTATTGCGAAGCAAATCATTTGGACGCATTTTGTGAAGTATAAATAAATGGAATTTCGATAGAAATCTAAACTTTTTATTTATTATGGTTACAATTTTTAGTGTGTGCTGCAGTCGTTTAAACAGACATACAATTGTCTTTAGAGTGTCAAAATCAGGTAACCAGGCTCGCACGAAGATCATTGTGGATAATTAACCAAGGTTTTCGTTACTCGAGTTTGAATAAGACGTGGGATCATACAGCGGGAAAGATGGTATTTTAACATCTAAACTAGTGCCATTGTGTCTTTCAAACCGAAACGTTCCCCACACGTGGGCCCACTCCACGGGGAAGTGGATATGACTGTGATACTGAAAAACTGGACATTCTGGAGAAAGGACAGGTTGCTGAAATGTGAAGGAAAGGTAAATCGGAGTATGCGAAAATTGCACCGTACTTACCATCCCTACAACTCCTTTTCCTCCGATTGACTCAAGGTTTCCGGATATTGAGAAAATTTTCAAAAAGCGCTCACGAAGTTGAACGCGGTCCATCGTGAGGTTTTCTAATCGGATTAAATAGCGCCACTTTCAAATATAAAAAAAATTGGGAAATATGTCATTTCGTATGTTAGTGTAGTGTGGTTTTCGAGATTACTAAATGTAATTTGTACATGAATAGTATTTTAATTAGATCGTGGCTTGATTAGTTCAACCTGATTATCTTCACGAATGTAAAGTATACTAGATAATTAACCTTACCCGGTTACTAACCCTTCTCTTTTCTACAAAATATGAGGATTCTACGCAACCTCTGTGACCATAAAAGACGTGATTCTGATTACCGTCGCCCAGTAACATCATCAAAAACGGTTCTTAAAAATAGGTTACAAGGAAACCGTATCTGACTACACGCTGGATATTTTTGAGTTTTATTCTGTGTAAGGTTATTTCAAGAAACCGTGGCAACAATTGTCGGCCCACAAACATCGGAAATGTAGTTACTCTTAAAAGTAATTATCCGAACCTTATAAAGTAGTCTGGCTGACTAGAAAGACATATCTTTATTCCAACTACCAATAAAACTTCAGTAATAATAATACATGATAACGTCGGTGTGCATGTTGACCACAAATTCAGTTGTATTATATCGAGCTCAGCTTTGCATGGGTCGAAGGTTCTCATATCTTATATCACGCTCCTAGTCGTTGGGGTCTGTTTTGCTGAACACAGTCGTCATGCGTAGTTAGTCGATTTAGGGTTAGTCATGGTATAATTACATTTTTAGTCCGTGTTGTATTCAGTGAGCAACATTTGTTACTTACATGCAAATGTCATTATTTAAAAGAACGCGGTAACGAGTGCCAACACAATACTGGATTACAACGTGATTACAGTCACTCACACTTACACGGTTTTTTGAGTCACTAAGTATTATTTTCTACTGTATTAGTTTAGTAGTTCGACATATTCCAAGGGATGTAGTTTGATTTTTTTTGTAGTTCAGTCAGTAATTTTTGACATAACTGAATTCAATTTCGATGTTTTGAGTACTGCACAAATGAATTAATTTCCCTACTAGACTCAGTAATAGTGGTTACTAATAAGGGCGACTATCAAAAAGGCACATACTATTAAGGGTGAGGATTGAAAGAGGAAATAGAACCCATTCTACATATAATATCCCAATGAGTGGAAAAATTGTATTTCTGACATTTCGTAAACAAATAACCGAAATAAAAATCCTTAAGGTTGTGAATTATATTCGATCTACTTTGTTCTTTTGCCCTAATGACCAAAAATGTAGATCTTTAAAAGAAGAGTAGAAAGATGATGCTCGACATTTCTCATTATGTATATTCCTGAAAGTATCGTCCTTCGTCCTATTCAGTGAAACCTAGTGAACTATTATTCTGTATATTATTGAAATCCGTGATAATGGTAGTCAATTGACTAGGTTTCATTTAATATTAGATGAACAGGTGGGACCTATTATGCGGACCTGATGCTATTATTATTATTACTAAGTAGCATATGATTGTTAGTTATTTGTGTGAGTCAGATTATCATTTTTTTCAGTTAAAACAATGCTGAGATTTGCGTTTGACAAGCTAAAACATTTGAAAAATTATTAGTCTTAAATCACAAATCCAACTACGCTACAATATATTATAGATGATTTCGTTGCAGAGGCGTTGGCGGTTCGTTTCAATTCTGAGCTATGGCTGCAAGCTGTCATTATACCACGACTCAAACACCTAGTTTCTTACACACAGTCGATTATTTACAAAAACTTTATTCTGACTTTTTTAAAATCTATTAATCTTCCTCATATTCCTTAAGTGGATATTTATATCTCACCCATTCGGTTTTATCATTTCTTTTACTTTTCGATTATTACGCAACCTCGTTTTGACCTCGAAATTAGCTACCAATCAAACTTTTCGACAGGCAACGCGGTTTAACAGGCGTAAGTAAGCAGTACAAACTCCCCACACTGATAATTCAACCTGAAAGGGCGATTTATCAATACAATATAATAATTATAGAGATATTAACTGACTAAATATGATTGATCAGTAGGGAGGAACGTCAATCGAATGTAGATGTAAACGCTACATACATTATAAAACTTTTGTAACGCAGTTTAACAACGGAAGTGTAGACGTCCCACAGTGTGACTTTGGAAATTGGTTGGCCGCGGTCCTCATATCTTACTGATCTCTTGACACAGGTATCTTCAAAGTAGTTCGTTAACCCTGATTTCATCAAACTATCAAATCCAGGTATGACATCTTCGACTGGTATAAAAGCTAACACTGCCAAATTACGAGTCTACAGAGCAAAATTTTTACATATCATGCAACGTTGCTGAACGTTCGCTGATTGTTGAAGTTTTCGCCATATACACTGGCTGAGTTGGGAGAGACAACCTTGTTGTATTGCATTTGGATATATTTGTCGAAACGTTCAATGTTCGTAGACAGTCATGATAGCTGAAGTATGTAGTTCGTTTAGTTTGTTAAATATGTGCGCATACGAATCCCTGCTTTCGTCACTCAAAACATAAACCAATGGAAAGATCGTAACAGATTTCAAATAGTGAATTGCGTATAGATGATCAAATAAAAGTGGTGAGATCCTGAATGTTCCATCAGTCTACTAATAAGGACACAGTTCCAACAATTCCAGTATCGAAATTCTATTTTCTGTCGGTAGGTAATTCCCTCTCCTAACAGTCGCCCTATACTCAGAGGGAAAATTTAGCTTTATCAAGGGACTTGGATTTGGTAAGGGCGCTGGTTTATATCTCGTACACGCCGAACTATCTGTTTCACCAGATTAACAACTTAAAGTTGAGTTGATACTACATAAGACAAACCGGTTGACACTGTAGTCGTTATTTGATGTGGGAACTTGGCGAAGCTACTTAATCTTTTGTTCTTGACTGTCTTTTTAGCATTTATATTAGCTTTATCTGGAATGACTTCGCTTCGTCGAACATTTTGTAATGAATTCACACGTCATAATATTGCGCGACCTACACTTTGCGATACAATAATCCGTAAATGTCCAAATATTCTTGTTGTTAACCACTTTTCTGAAGATATAGCCATATACTATTAAGAAGTTTGAGCCTTTATTGCACTTCATTTAACCCAATTTCGTTCCAATGAGGTGTGGAAAATATGACCTAAGGTGTAACCCATCAGCTTAATGTACAACTGTTTCATTTTGAACTGTAATCAAAGATTTCGAAACAAATAGACACAAATTCATTCTATATACCATTATCACTGTAAATGCTTGTCATTAAGTCGATTACTATCATATTTTACGGTCATCTGAAATGACGTAACAAACACTTTTACTTGATGTATTACATCTGTCTGGCTCCAACAACGTGGTGCATTGTTGATTACACGAACCTGTACTTGAATACTGGACTTAATTTTTGTTACTACATATTACATTGGGGTAAGAGCTGTGAGGTGTAGTTTGCTTTCAATGATTTAACCTAAAGTTGCCCATAAAATTACAAGAGTGAATAAAAAAAGTCTAATTCTTGATCATATTCATGCCCCACTGGGATCCGAAGACCATCTACACATCGGTGTAAGATCGTCAGAGATAGCAGAGAACCACGGGCCTAGATTTCGCGCCAGTTCAGACTCGTCAGCAAGACAGCTGGGATCTTGAGGGAATTGGTTCTTATCGTATGAAACATTACCACCGAGGTATTCGGGCTGCGAATGACCCTCTTCAGGACTGAGATAACTAGATTGATTGGTTATTCAGTGGTGAACTTTGTTGTGCTTGTCTAGACCTTGTAGATAGTTGGATTCTCTTGAAATTAGATACGTCTTGCTTACGAGTGCGACCTAACATGAAATCTACGTGTAGGTTTCTCTACCGAGTACCTCCAACCACCTTTCATAATACTCTAGCACATGCGATGTCGAGTCACTTAAAATAATAAACATTGCCACATGGTCAATAGAATACAATGAGCACTAAGTACTAGCTAAAAGTGACAATGCTTACCGCTTAGTGATTAATCAATTTAATTATCTAGGTGTCCTAACAGTAAACTGCCTTTTTCTGATCTTTTATCTCTCGAGAGCTGTTCACTGTGAAATTTACATTTTAAATACTGAATATTAAGAAACGGCATGGTTTTGAAAAACAAACTTACGTAGCGTACATCATTTTCTTTTCTATCCTGAAAGAAAAAGAAACTGGTTTCTAACAAACAATAGAGGATGCATTGGGCTACATAAAATTTATATTTAATAACTTACCTCTGTTACTCGACGGCCCATGTAAAAAGGCATTACTGTCGTTTGAATACCTTCGGTCACTTCGCGATGTATCGATGTAACTTCTAGACTTTGCTTTCGCGCCTCAATCCAGCGTCTTAAATGATCGGTTGGAATAAATGGTGGATCTTTTGTAAGAGAATATTTACAAACATTCATAATCTTAACAGATACAATATTTCATGAAACTTAACAGTCAGATAATCGGACAGAGATAAATAATTTAGAAGGTAAGATTTTCTTAAAATACTAAGTACTTTTATGCTTAATATTTTATCACACACTGAAAATGTAAGAGAACGAGACAGTTTCGCTTTTATATAATCAATTTATTATCCAACTCTGTTTATAATCTTTAAATATTTTAAGCTGAATTCGAGTTCTGCTGAACTTAAATTAATCTGAATGGTTTAAATCAAATAAAATGATAGAAGTAACAAAAACTAGGCTTTAAAAAGATATAACAGAAACCATGGTCGTTATCAAGTTTGAGTTATACGTGGATGCTTTTCTAAAACCAAATAAGACTAAGTCCTGTTACATTTTAATACAACGACAATATACTTTCGAAATTGAAAAGGATGTATTTGTTTCGAATGTTTGGTCGAAGAACAGTTGCAGATTAATTTGGCTTTCGTAACATGTTGCAGATCGGGGATTAAGTTGCAAATCTCTATATTTAGTTATTTAATGATCACAGAGATGTGCACAGTTTGTTGCTACGTATCTTCATTGGCTTGAAAAAAACCCTCTTAAACTAAGAGATTAAAATCGCTTCATATCTTTCTTTCTACGAACTAATTCTTTCTTCCTGTACTATATCCTTATTGCAATCTTTCTTTTATATATTACCACCTCTGAATTAGCTACTTTTATGAATCCGGTGTATATCTTGTTGTGTTAATGAGGTATGGCAACTTGGACCGATGCATAAATGTGCCTGATCCTACGTTGTGGCTGACTGACTGACTGACTGAAAAAACCCCAGACTATATAGAGTATGCACAACGGTTACGAGTATAATTTTCTAGCTGGAAATAGCTTTCTTTAATTAGTGACTTCACCCTACTTTCGTTTCTCAATTTATGATTCAAATGAGTGAGATTAAATAGGATACATGTGACAATGTCTAATTTAAGATTTAATCTATATTAAGGGACTAACAAAACATTAATCGTAACAATCTATTTGTGGGAAAGATCCGACAAACCGATATAATTAAACCTTTATGATACTGAGTGAGTAAAATGTCTGTTTAAGCTGATAGATCCACTTAAGGAACTGTACAAACGCGTCAGTTAAGTTTTGCGACGAGATTTTACAAATCTTTTAACATTTCCAAAGTTACTTTATATTTGCACAACTGTCTTTTTCATGTCGGTTAGGGCTCTGTTATTTGTCTTACTTATCCGATGAATTACACAGCAACATTTAGTATGTACAGATTAGTTCAAATGATTGTGATAACTTTGGAATGCTGCGCTAATTAAGTCATTTCTGATTTTAGAAACAAAGGTACGTCATGGGTATCCATATTTCAACTTGTTTTTTCATTGATGTTATGCAGAAGGCCTCCACACAACCAATACCTGGACTTGGTAGAAAAGGAAGTGAGGCCAGTTTGTGACAAGACGCCACAGAACGAAAGTTTATTGTACAAAACTGTGACCCGTCGATCATTTTCAACTCTCTGGTTAGTGCCTAGAGTCATTGAAGTATTAAAAAATTAGACATCTAAGAGAAGTCATACAATTTAACTTTCATTATAGTAGAAGTTGTATATTCTGTGAAACAGCATTATTTCGTAATCGATACAGTCAATTACTTTCTAGATAGTTGAAACAGATAAGACGAGTTGTGCATGCATAAAAAGTAAAGGAACATAGAAAAATCGGTGCCGAATGACAAATCATTAAAAAACTATTATTACTTTAACACCTTGTAAGAATTACCTTTGTCTGGAGTAGAAAGCAAGAATTCACTAAAATATTGATTTCTAATTGGCGAAACATCCTGCGGAACGTAAGGTATGATATCATCATGGAAAACATAGTCCATTTCTGTAGATGTTGATTTGTAATTCAAACAAACCTGACACTATATATATGGCATTAAATGCTCGTTTATCATCAGGTAAAAAAAGTAATACCATGTTTTAAAGCAGAATTCTAGAAACTAGAGATCAAAAACTAGACCATCGTACACAAATTTCAGTGTCGCTTTGATCCGTTAGAACTTGGTAAACATATGTTTCAGATTCTTCTCCCTTTGGAGACTCATGAGACGTCAATTCTCTAAATCAGATTAGCAAACAGTAAAGTAAACATACATTGATTTCGTAGATTGTAGATTACGATCGAACAGCTTTCCCTTCCAACGCTGTAGCACAATGCCACGATAACCAAATTTCTTGTGTAAGAATATTTGACCAGGCTCATATAAAGATTCAGAGGCCTTTTGGAGGTGACCAATTAGTTCTAATCTGTGGTTGAACATTAAACAATCCAAGTTAACCTACTTAATTGGGCGACTGGAAGAAAGTAGATACCTTCTGATTATGAATTCAGGAGCACGGAGACCAAAGGTTGGTATCAAACCAATACCAAGTTTATTTGTTAAACAAACAGCTAGCATTGAATATAATTGTTTAGGAGAGAACGGTTAATGTCTGCTGAGCCTGTCAGTTTCAGCTCTTTCTAAAATACCATTATGGTTATTAACGATGTAAGCATCAGTCAATGGTGTGCAAAACACAGATTAATCAAGAAGCAAGACATAGGCGGACTACAATAATGAGACAAACAGATATAGATAAGTAGTAGTAGTTCCAAGAAGCGAAATTTGATTTAAACACCCACCACACTGTTAGGAGACAAAAGGATAGGCAGCAATACATGAGAAGTGATTGAGAATTAGGTTAAGGCGACCAACAAAACCATCCAATACCAAATAAAAATTTACGAGGGGATATGAAGCGTTATCCATTCCCAACGGCTGGCCAAACTACTGTAGGAGTAGGTTGATAAGATCAGACGAAAATATAAGATTATTGTATGAAAACGTTTAGTAATTAACTGAGTATTACGGTAATTTGCGGTTATAGTAACTGAAGACCTTTGGTGTGAGTTTCGTTACAGCATAATCAGACGATACTCATATCCAGCTCTCAAACGTTGTATTCGGGAGTCGATACCTATTGGAAGGGACGATATGTGATCGTAGCCAAAAACTAACAGACGCAAGTCTACTTGGCTGATTAGCTAGACGTTGGGAAGTGTTCTGACAAGCAAGCAAGCTCAACTTATGGGCATTTTGCCTTACATATATAGAAAATACATAACATAATCGGGAGTTTCTAGCATTTTGCGTGTAAATGTTTCTTGGAACGGACTTGAACCGAGGCGAATTGGTTAGATGGTGCAAAGGTAGGGGCTTATTAATCAATTCTATGAAATATGCTAATGCACATTGAACCCAGCAAGTTACCAGTATATCGCCAACTGTACATCGCTCCCACGTGTGGAGGAACAGAAAGACAGGAGTAACACTAATTCATGACTTAAAAGCAACTGTAGAGTGCAGCGCAGCGGCCGCCAAATGATTTCGAGCTTGATGGTCACTTCACTGAGAATTCAAATGCTTTGACGAGATGTTCCAGCTTTTACGCTTCACCTATGTAAGACGACGCTTAAAGTACCACATTGAAGCAGCTGGTCCATATCATATTGAAGATGCTGATGAGGAAAAACGGTACGTACCGTTTTTCCTCATCGTGTAGTCAGTGGAAGGAACGCCCTACCCGGATACGTTGTATCAGCCCCGTCGTTGGGGCTGATACCCATGGATTAATTACTGTGACGATACGTTCCATTTTTAAGACTGACAGCAGAATTCACAATTCTAAGCCAATAATAAATATATACTGCGAGGGTGTCCCACGAGGAAAAACCCAAATGCACAGGTGGTTTGTAGCACGTACTATTAGCGTTTACTTGCAAGCACGAGCGATCTGAAACACAACACAACTGTCAGGACCGGTAAATGCCACTGAAGTAAGAACACGGCGTACTGGCACAACAGTAATATATTTAGAAATTGAAAGACGCGGTTCGAGTACAAAACGGGAAGCTTATTACAAAATGGGTTTATTCATTGTTTTGCTTGTGTAAAACTTGTTCCTCTTTTTCTAGTACTTTTAATCTTTGTTGCCCTGCAATAAGAAAAACAAACTCATATTCGTAACGTCACATGTAATGATTCTTGATTCCGTTGCAAGTTGTCAGTTGAAAATTCGCGCCAAATCCCAATCCGCATTCTGATTTGTTCATTTTCATAAGCATAAAAATTGCAGTTAATTCCATGTTAACTTCCCACATTTACGCGATCAGATTGTTGTCAATTGAGTCCTTTAGGTTGACGAGTATTGCAATCGTTTTTCATTTCATTCGACTCATTATTATTTGTTTCAATCTTTCACAATTCCACTATACAATCAAGTACTACTGACTTCGAATTCGCTGTTAACTGTACATTAACTAGTTCCATTTGATAATGTCCTATGTATGCACTGAGATCACCTATTTCTAACTATAATCTGGAAACTATGAATAGTTTATTGTAAGCAACATTACTAAAAAAATTTACTTCTCCCAAGCATTAATGGATTATCACTTCATATATATAGGAATTTTTACTCTCATATGTATTTTGGACACATGTACCTAAACTGATTTCAAATATACTGTCAGTACATTTGTCCCATAAAACCTATTGGTTTGAAGTACAGGGGGTTAGGCTTTTGAGCGAAGCCAAAGTGATTTTGAGAGTTTTCACATAGTGCCTAGGACCAAACGGAGGTTATAAACCAGTGTGTAGAACTGTAATTATGATTTTCGGTTGATGGTTAGGTTAGGGAATAAGATCTAGGTTTGTCATCACGAACTGACATAAGCTTGTAGTGACTCACATTTATCACGAGAACACGACTGGTTTAATAAAAACAATTATTATAACCAACTGTACCAGTGTTTGTTTTAATGTGCTTTTGTTTGACTGTGCTAATGACAGCAATCTTGTGACTCCACATCAAAAGTCGAGACCTGATATCTTGTACCTGATTTGTCCGTCCATAAATTATGGTCTGGCCGTGCAGGCGAAAGATTTGCATCACAGAAATCATACACTCGGTCTTTCTTATTGCTCATGTGGAAAATGCCTTGAGTGAAACAGCATTACGAATTTCGTTAATAGGCCTAAAGTTATTTTTGATGAATTTTTTATTAGGATCGTTTTATTCTGAATCCGCTTATGGCTTTTCTAGGGTTGCTGCCGGTCCCAAGCCCGTTTAAAGGAGGAGGGCTAGGTGTGGGGTTAACTCTCCCATCCCATAGAAAACAGCCTTGATAAAAATACGCTAACCAGAATAAACAAATTAAAACATTTAAACTCTGCCACCGAGTTGAAGGATCTTCATTCAGAAGAATTATGACGCCTCATGGTGAAATCCAAGATTCTTCGGAAATCACGAGGTTGATGTCCCTTGTAACAACCACAGCAGCAACTTTTATAGGCACATGGAACATCCTGACAATGTGAGGACCAGTCAAATAGCAACGGAAATGAGGAGATACAACTTGACAGTGCTCAAAGCCAGCGAAACTCACTAGACCCAAACTGGACAGCAATAGTTAGACACAGAAGAGATGCTGCTGTACTCCGGACACGAAGGGGAAAATGCTCCACACACTCAGGGAGTTGCACCAATGCTGTCTAA